CACGTTGGATCCCAGGCTTGGTTCCTTCCTTCCCGAATCCAGCCCCCCTGCGGGGGGGCCCCTGAGAGGGCGCAGTTCCCGATTCCGGACCTGGGAGGTGGGGGAGTGGGAAGGCCCCAGAGGGTGTCTGTCCACCGATCCCACCCCCTACTCCTCAACTCTGGGTCTTCCCTCGTTCCCAGATACACCGGAGGTTGGGCCCAGGAGAAAAGGCCAGGATCGAGACAGCGTCCCAGGTAGGCTGTGCCCCCCAGAGTAGGGACTGGCCGGCTACCTTAGCCTCCCGGGTAGCCTGGCTACCTACCACTTGGGGGGTTGATGCGACGCATTTCATGGAAAATCATACATCGCTGCTTTGCCAACAAGGAAGTGTTTCTAGTATTCATTTTGTTTATTAGCCAATCGTGTGACCCTGGTGTGTTCAGGCCATTGTATGTGTAGAAAGTAATTGGCTTCGTCTTTAAGTGTCTGTCCTCAATTATGTTTGAGCCCGGTGTTCAGCCTCAGCCAAAACTTGTTGAAAATTATGCCCTAAAAATCTGGCTCTTAAAATAGGGCAGAGAGATCAAGAGAATCTTTGTCAGGAGATTTCCATTACTCCCACCCTTTAGGGAAGAATTGGTGTCAGTTTTTACTCCTCAGGCAGTTCATTTTTTTTAGATAGAAAAACTTATTACAGGCCATGGTTAATTATCATTCGTCATTATGGGCGAAATGGGGAGAAGTGGAACACACTTCTGACCTTTCCCCCACCTTCATGTCTTGATTAGACTATAGTCCTGTTAGCAGCCCCACTACTGGGAACCCTTTTAGTTCTCTCCAAACCACTTAGGCCATTCTCCCACCCTCCTTCCCCCCAACCCCCCACTTTTTCCACTTTTTTATTTCTTTGCTATGTTAATCTCCATTTATTTTTTTCTTTCTCTAAGGTGTGTATATTTTTTACCCTGCACCTCTCCCTCTGTTGTTTCAAAAATTAAAAGCTGTTTACAGAAGAAAAATACCCATCCTAGATAATTTTCAGAGTATTTAGAAACAGTTTGCAGTTTCTTTCTCTTAGCTTATCAGTCTTTTGGGGGTTGAGGGGAGAGACAATATCAATAATGATACATTGAGCTAATTATGCAAAGAGGAAATGAAAAGCTGTATCAAAGTCACTTTTTATGCAGTGATGACATGGAAAATATATTTGTAGTGAGTGAACATAATTACCTTTAATACTGAAAAAGTAGCACAGGTGAAGGCAAACAAATGTTTAAAGGAAGGATCATAAATGAGTCAGAAAGGTGAGAAAGAAGGTAAACCGCAAGTTTAAAAGACTAGGCCTTCAAGACATCAGGAGATACATTTATTCTGTGCTCAGCCAGTAACCATGACATTCACATAACCATGATATTGACATATTAATTACCTGCTTTGGGCCTCCATCAGTGAAAAGAGGGATCTTACCTAGAGACCTATTACATATCTTTTGGTCCTGACGTTTTTTGATGCATTCAGCAGCAACGAATATTGGATTCTTATTTACTATGTGCCAGACATTGTGGAGGTAGTGATGGACAAGATAAACCTGGTTCTGCCCTCAGGGAGCTTTTTGTCTGAGAGAGAAATAATAGTGAATAAAGAAACAATGGCATAAGGTAATTATGAAGGAAACATAACAAGAGCTGAAAGGAAAACAAAGTGACTCATTCTGTTCAAGAGACATAACAGCATGTGCAAAGCTCTCAACATGGGAACCAGAACGGTCTTTTCTACTTGTAGAAAAGGATGGTGTGTCTGGACCATCTATAATAATAAAAGTGTAATATGCTAATTAGACTGGATGCCCGTTGAAGCTGGGACTGCAAGGGAAGCCCGGGGTCCCGGGTGCCAGAGGGAAGCCGGTGCCGGCAGCCGGGGGAAGGAAGGCCTACCCTTGCACGAATTTCCTCCATCGGGCCTCTAGTAGGGAATGACAGTCATACAGGATGGGATTGAGAGTGTGCAGGGGCTGTCGAGTTCATTTGGGGCCTTTTAGGTGGTGGTCAGGACGGGAGCTGTAGTTCTAAGGCCACAGAAAACCATTGAATTTTAAGGAGGGAGAGACATCGTCTTATTTACCTTTTAAGATGACCTTAGCTGCTCTGCGGAGAATGATTTGGGAAGAGGCAAAGGAGAACGAAGAGAGAGACCTTACTAGAAAGTGTTTGTAGAGTTTAGATGAGAAATGCTAGAGACTGAATTAAACTGGTGTCAGTGGAGAGGGATTTAAGAAATATTTTGGAGAACAGGAGTTGATGTGGACTGTATGTTAAGGGTGAGGGAAAGCCAGGACTCAAGAATGACTCCCAGATTGTTGACTTGTGCAACTTGTAGGTTATGGTACCATTTATTGAAATGAGAAAATCTGGATGATTTTATTTTATTTATTTTTAATTTAAATTATTTATTGTTGAAAGTATTGCATATGTCTCCTTCCCCCCCCCCCTCCCTGGATGCTCCCATCCCCCAGCACATGCCCTCACCCCCCTACTGTCTGTGTCTACTGGTTATGCTTATATGCATGCTAGATGATTTTAAATATGTTTTTTTAAAAAAGACTTGGAAACAAAATTTAATGTTGGAAAGGACTGCAGGAGTCAAGTACCACCTCTGTTTTCCTTTTTAAAAAGTTTCTTTTTAAAATATATTTTTATTGATTTCAGAGAGGAAGGGAGAGGGAGAGAGAGATAGACACATCAATGATGAGAGAGAATCATGACTGGCTGCCTTCTGCACACCCCTATTGCAGGTCAAGCCTGCAACCCTGACATGTGCCCTGACCAGGAATCAAACTTTGACCTCCTGGTTCGTGGGCAAACACTCAACCACTGAGCTACACTGGTGAGGCTTTTGTTTTCTATTTTACAAAGGAAACAGACTCAGAAAACAAGTTGATTTCAGAAGCCTAGGCCTGTTCTTTCTTCTCGACATCACATAAACAAGTCTTCCATAATGACCATCGTAGTCCTCTCAATCATTTATTCTTATTTCCTATGAAAAACATCAAATGAAAAGATAGTGAGACTAGTCAGAGCGTGGCCCATGGACCACAGCATCACCTGGTGAGGCCCGCAGGCATCACCTGGGAGCTTGGGAGAAATACAGAACCTTGAGCCTCATTCCAGCATTGGAGAATCAGAATGCATTTTAACAAGATTCCCAGGTGATCATATTCACATTGAAATGTGGTAGGCGCTCTTCTAGAGCCAGTCAGTCCACTTGGAAACTCTCGTCTGCTCAGGTCAGCAGAACCTAGGGTGTCTGGAGAACTACGAGGAGCCCCTTGTCAGACAGAAGGGAGAGATACCTCACTCGAACATTCCGAATTCTGCATGTTATGCAAAAACAGGAACAAAGTATGCTGTGTGGTGGGGTGACACATTTTAAGGAAAGTGAAGAGAAAATTACAAAATAGTGAGTGGATCTACTGATGCCGTTACTGCCTGAGTGGAAAAAGGGAAAAGGCTGCATGTAAATTCTTCAGCTTCCACCATTCAAAGGCAACAGTTGTTCTCCCACTAGTGTTATTTTTCATGATTACAAACGTGGAGCCTGAGAAAGAAAATACCTACTAAAAAAGGCTCCCAGTGGCTGACTGGGCCCAAATTTTAAAAACAAACATACATACAACGAGTAAAAACAAAACAGAGCCTCGCAGCCATTTCTACACAGGAGCCTCTCATGCAAACTGCACTTCAGGGGAAAGCCTGCACTGAACTGCCAGTCTGCACTGTGTTTCTGCCATCTGAGCCAGGCCTTATCAAGCAGTTCCTGGAATCCTCTTCCAACCAATAGGACTGAGGCTTTCCCTCATGCAATCAGAGCTGCACAGCTGTATCCCCATCTGTTTCTTCACTGACCAATCAGAGCGGCTCCATTCTGACCAATCAGCACAATGCCTTTTGGGCCAGTCAAACTGAGGATTTGGAGTCCTCATTTGCATGAGTCCAAGGGGACCCAGGGCAGAGACTGGTGTCTCTGTAAGTCAGCTCCCCTCTGGTTATGAGAATGCCCTTTCCCTTCACAGGGAAGACTGTTTTCTGGCTGGAGCAGAGCAGAGCAGGCCAGTGCAGACTGGCCCAGAATGGAGCAGACCAGCAAAGAGCAAAGCAGACCGGTGTGGAGCATAGCTGACCAGCCAGGAACAGAGCAGAGGAGGTCTAGCCAGAGAGGGTCCTGGCCTTGGGGGCCACCTCACACACAGCCTTGCTGAATCACAGTGAGCTGTTTTGCACTGAATAAAGTTTTCTTCTTCACTGAACCCCAAATTGGGGATTCCTATTGGCATTGAATTGGCGCCAAGGAGGACTGGTTGACACAAACAATAATGTAGAGATGAGCATAATTGAGGATCAAAAAGCCACATAAGTTATCTCCAAATACCAAAACAAGTATTAGGTTGAATCCTGAAACTTTTAGTAGAGGTGTTTTCAGTCTTGGCTGATGACCTCTAAAACAAAAGCTTGATGCCCAGGCTGAATTCCAGACCAAGGAAATAAAAATCTGAGCAGATGGGTGGTGCTGACTAGATAAAACTGTGTTACAAAGGTCCTTGGTCCATCGATCGTGCCCCTAAAATTGAGAACCCCTGCTTCCGTAGGTCCTTCCTCCTTGAGGGAAGAGGCAGCTCTGAGATTGCAGTTCTGCCTGTGCACTTCCCCAAACGGTGGGACCCTCTGTTTCTCTCCTTGCACCAAGCAGAGTCAGCACAACTCAGGTCACACTCCGCGGTGTGTATGACAGCCCCTGGGGTTTTCAGAACATTAAGGGAGGCAGGAATTTTTAAAAGAGGCACGTACTGTGGGCCAATTTTGTTAAGATGTGAGTAAACACACTGCTGATGAAATGTTCTAAAATTGGATTGTGGTGATGGTTGCATAACTGTAAATTTACTGGGAAGTATTAATGTATACACTTAAAGTGGGTAAATTTTATGCTGTGTAAATTACACCTCAATAACGCTTTTTTTTTCAGTTGCTGTGTATGCGTCAACATTCTTGATTTCATCATATAATTAGATAGGAAGCCAGTGCCTGTTTTGTGTAATTGCAGTGTCAGTACCTAGCCCGATGCCTAGTGGATAGGGCCAATGATGATGTTGGGTTGGTGAATGGTTGGGGATGGATGGATGGATGGATGGACAGATATCATTATGATCATGGGCTGTTTCCTCATTGCTAAATAGATGTCAATCACCAGATAGCCCTAAAGT